TAAGGAAATCCACGCGCGCTTGATGCAAGCAAGACGAGACGCTGGCGGCGCGGCGGCGGGCGAGACGAGGAGGCCGCGCTAGCTGGCCGCCTTTCGCTCCCCAACTTCGCTCTACTCAACGAGCGATCAGTGAACAAAACCGTTTTAGGGAATCGAGTGTTGAACGTTCGCAGCGGTTAGTCTGACAAAATATCCGTACTTCGGCGAATCGACAACGGGAATCAAGTGCTGAACGTTCTCAACGTTTAGCCGCACAAAATTCCCGAACTTCGGCAAATCGCGAGCGGAAATCAAGCGCTGAATGTTCTCAACGTTTAGCTACACAGAATTCCCGCACTTTGGCAAACCGGCAACGGGAATCAAGCGCTGAACGTTCCCATCGATTAGCACAGCAAAATGCACGAACAGCAGGGAACAGAACTCGCAGGCAATATAATTTATTGAATTCAGCATTTGCTTATGATTATACACTTGACTATGCTGAGTTAAATGGTACTAATATTTGCAGAATGAATAAAATATGTAATTCATGTCAAGCAAAAAAATGGCCGGCTGAAGCTCCTGGACTGTGTTGTAGTGGTGGCAAAGTAAATATTCCTAAAATTCCAGCACCAACATCAATTCTTAAAGATCTAATATCAGGCTCACATCCATCTTCTAAGCATTTCTTAAATCACTCTAGACAATATAATACTCTGTTTCAGATGACTTCATTTGGTGCCAAAGAAATTCGTGAAGGAAAATTTATGCCCACTTTTAAAGTCCAGGGGCAAGTTTACCATCTAATCGGTAATTTACTTCCACCTGAAGGCGCACAACCCGAATTTTTGCAAATATATTTTATTTCCCATACAGATCAGGTATCTTTACGCTCAAATTTAAACCCAACGTTAAAAACCGATCTTATCGACGCTCTCCAAACATATCTTCACGATCACAATACTTATATTCAAAGTTTTAAATATAATCTCGAAAACAGACCAACGAATGATTTTAAACTTATCATTCATGCTGATGTGAAACCTCCTAATGAACATCGAGGTCGATATAACGCGCCCATGGTAGATGAAGTAGCTGTTCTTTTAATAGATGAAGACAAAGGTCCCCGAGATATAGTGTTAAATACCAGAGACGGGCGCCTTCAGCGAGTTTCTGAAATACATAGATCTTATGACCCACTTCAATATCCTTTACTGTTTCCCTTTTGAAATGACGGATATTGTATAAATATTCCACAGCAAAATACTGCTGCTAGATCTAAAACTATATCATGTATGCAGTTTTATGCATTTAGACTCATGGTGAGAATAAATGACTTTAACAGCATACATTATTTCAAAGGATTATTTAATCAATACTGTGTTGATATGGCGGCAAAAATGATTTCTGAGAGGCTTGACTTCATAAAAAGAAATCAAAAAAAATTAAGAGCAGAAGAGTACATTCATTTAAGAGATGCCGTGGTTAATGATGGCAATGTAGACGCTTCTAATGTTGGCCAGCACGTTATATTGCCATCGTCATTTACAGGATCTCCTAGATACATGAATGAAAAAAGTCAAGATGCCATGATCTATGTTAAGAAATTTGGAAGACCAGATCTCTTTATAACATTCACATGTAACTCCGAATGGCCAGAAATAAAAATTGAGTTACTACCCGATCAAAATTCTTACGACAGACATGATTTGATTTCTAGAGTATTTCATTTAAAACTAAAAAAAATGATAGACCTATTAACGAAGAAAAATATATTTGGAGCCTTCGTTTATAGTGTAGAATGGCAAAAAAGAGGTTTACCTCACGCTCACATTTTGTTGTGGCTGGCTAACAAAGTGCAACCGGATTCCATAGATGCAATAATATCGGCTGAAATACCTGACAAACAACAAGACCCAATGCTTTATAACATTTGTCATAAAAAATATGATACATGGTCCTTGCGGATTTCACAATCCTGCGTCACAATGTATGAAAGAAAACATTTGCACTAAAAAATACCCCAGGCAGTTTATTTCTGAAACACAAACCGGGGATGACGGTTACCCAACCTACAAGCGCCGTTCACCAGATAATGGTGGAAACACCGCAATAATTCGTGTCAAAGGTACAGAAATGAGAGTGGATAATAGGTGGGTTGTTCCCTATAACCCTGTGCTATCACGAAGTTTCAATGCACACATTAACGTAGAGTTTTGCCAATCGGTCAAAGCCATTAAGTACATCTGTAAGTATATCCATAAAGGTTCTGATCAAGCCACATTTTCGTTACAAAATAATAACGATGAAGTAGAAAAATATTTAAATGGTCGCTATATAAGTTCCTCGGAAGCACTCTGGAGAATTTTCCAATTTCCGATTCATGAACGTTTTCCGGCAATAGTTCATTTAGCAGTTTATTTAGAAAATGGACAAAGAGTTTATTTTTATAATAATGAAAATCTTCAAGATCGCGTCAACAATCCTTCATCAACGACACTTACAGCGTTCTTTGATCTTTGCAAAACAGACGATTTTGCCAAAACCCTTTTATATCACGAAGTACCCCAGTATTACGTATGGGAAAGAAATTCATTTTCTAGAAGAAGACGTGGACAAGATGTTGAAGGATATCCCGGTATAAAAAAGACTCAACTTTAGGTCGTGTCTACAACATTCATCCGACACAAACTGAATGTTACTATTTAAGAATGTTACTGCATCATGTTCGCGGTCCAATGTCATTTGAACATCTAAGGACAGTAAATGGTGTTATTTTCAATACTTATCAAGGAGCTTGCAAGAAATTAGGTTTACTGGAGGGAGATGAACATTGGCAAAATACTATGTCAGATGCTGTCATGTCCGAGCCGGCTCCAAAATTAAGAGAATTATTTACCATAATCCTCATATTTTGCCAACCATCTGATCCCTTGCAGCTATGGAACAAATTTCGGGAAGATTTGTGTCAAGATATATTATACAGAATGCGTAATGAGACCCAGGATATGACATTAGCATATAGTGATGACATATACAATGATGGACTTATCATAATTGAAGATAAGATTCATGAGATTTGTGATAAATCATTAACTGATTTTGGGCTTCCTGCAACAAAAAGGAATAACACACACCATAATTTGGATCCTTTAGAAATAGCGTTGCGGAAGCCATACGATGTAAATGAATTAAATGAGTATATTACTGTAAATGAACCCAAGTTAGTTAATGACCAGGTGATGGCATACAATAGTGTTATGCACAGTGTTCGTTTCAATGAGGGAAAAATATTTTTTTTAGATGCTCCAGGCGGAACCGGCAAAACTTTCATTACTAATTTGATATTAGCAAAAGTAAGGTCTCAGGGAAAACTAGCTTTGGCAGTAGCGTCATCAGGAATCGCTGCAACTTTATTAGCTGGTGGACGCACAGCTCATTCCACTTTTAAACTGCCCCTAACCGTTTCGTTACAGAAAGATAGCGTGTGCTCTATTCGTAAAAATGGCCCTTTAGGAAAAGTTTTGCAAGACGTCACTTTAATAATCTGGGATGAATGTACCATGATTCATAGAGCTCACGTAGAGGCTCTAGATAGGACTCTTAGAGATATTAGAAGCTGTGATAAAATCATGGGTGGGATTACTGTCATGTTTGCTGGGGATTTTCGGCAAACTTTACCAGTAGTAGTAAGAGGAACTAGAGCAGACATTGTAAAATCTTGCCTCAAAAGTTCTCCATTATGGAAATTTGTTCATACCTTAAATCTATCTACGAATATGAGAGCACATTTGGGGGGTGGTAGTACAAATTTTCCTTTGAAGTTACTTTTAATTGGAGAGGGAAAAGTACCTCATTTTGAAAATAAAATAGCTATTGATCAAGATTTAGCAGAAAAAGTGACTAGCATTGAGAGTTTAATATCAAAAGTTTACCCAGATATCGTCGAAATAGAAAATAAAGATTATCAATGGATGTGTCAACGAGCAATATTGGCGGCGAGAAACAGTAGTGTTGACGAAATTAACGATTTAATTTTAACTAAACTTCCAGGGGATATAGTCACCTACACTTCTATTGATAATGTAATGGATCAAGAAGATGCAGTCCATTATCCACAGGAATTTCTTAATTCTTTAAACCCGAGTGGCCTCCCCCCACATTCTCTCAAGTTAAAAATTGGTGCCCCAATTATTTTACTTAGAAATCTTAAGCCACCAAATTTATGTAACGGGACTCGACTTCAGGTTAAATTTCTTCGCAATTACGTGATCGTTGCAACAGTTTTGACTGGTCCAGCGGTTGGTCAAACAGTACTTATACCTCGGATCCCAATGATTCCAAATGATTTGCCTTTTCATTTTAAAAGAGTCCAATTCCCAATTAAATTATCTTTTGCCGTAACGATAAATAAATCACAGGGGCAAACATTTAAATATGTAGGATTAGATTTACGGCAAGACTGTTTTTCGCACGGCCAACTATATGTCGCGTTGTCAAGATCAGGTTGCGGAAACAATCAATATATTCTTCTGCCACAAGAAAATAAAACGAAAAATATAATTTACTCAGAAGTACTTTAAAATAATATTTTAACCCGGTTTAAAGTGGACGGACACTCCCGCCTGTAGTCGTAATTCTTATGTGTCTGGCTGAATGTCGAACAGACAGACAGCTATTGCCTGTGACTTATACAATTTAACTTAATCTATATTTTTCTTAATATTATAAAGCTGAAAAGTTTGGTTGTTTGTTATGAACGCGGTAATCTCGGGAAATACTGATCTGATATGAAAACTGTTTAAATATTCAATAGTCCATTTATTGAGGGAGGCTATAATATAGGCAATATTTTATCTCGGTATTTCCACGGAAACGAGAAAAACGCGGGTGAAACCGCGGGGCACAGCTAGTCTTTTATAACACTATAATAAAGTTTTCATTAGAAACTAAGTAACACATGTTATAACTGAAAGTTGTATACATGTTAAATAAATAACAATTTTATTATTATTTTACAGGTAAAAGCAGCAAAAGTTAAAGGAGAACCTGAATATCGACCCTCATTGTGGTGTTATAAGTACTTTACGTTTTTGAATGTTACGAGTAAGTATGACAATAACCGAGGTGGATCCGAAACAAATGCTAGTGAACAAAGTGATAATGAGGAGGAGATAACATTCGTAAGTATAAAACATGTTTTGTGATTACCAAACTGAATGAAACTGTAAGCCATAACATATCACATTGTTGTCCTTTAACTTTCGTTCATCAGCCTCTAAAAGTCTTTTTTTTTTATAGGATAAGTGTGACAAACGAGCACACAGTCCACCTGATGGTAAGTGGTTGCTGCGGCCCATAGACATCTACATCTATCCTCTATTACAAATCAAAATGTAGATGCGTTGTCACCCGTGAGGACTAAGATGGAATGCCTCATTTCCAGTAAAAAGGGCCTCCAGCCACCTGCACTCACCAAGCGAAACGCAGAGGTAAACCGCTACTTCACGCTGGTTTTCTGTGAGGTCGTGGTACCACCCCGGTTCGAGCCGGCCCATCCGTGCGACAGCAAGAGCTGCTGCGTGGCTCTACCGCTGTTAAAAAAAGTCTATTCCTAGGCATGAACCTCTCCTGTTTTAATGTCATAATCGCCACGCTCAGCAGGCGAATTGACTATCACAATACTTTTGTATGGTCTCCCACTTTTTAGAATAGCTGTATTAGCTCAAGGGCTAAGTACTCGCCGTAAATTTCATAATATGCTCATAAAAACTTTGGTTTGATGATCTCCGTCACCAATAAGCTTGATAATTGTAATTTCAAAGACTTATTACACGACAAAACCTGCATGTCTGAGGAATAAAAATATTTTGAAGACATGTGAAATCCCATAAAGCAGTGCAAAAAACATTTAGAATCTTGGTGGATTTCTTAACAAATATTGTATTCTTTACTATCAAAATAACGCTCTTTATACAGTTTTCGGTTACTATAAATTTTTATGTTTTGAGAGAGACATTGTATATTTTCTCAAACTTCGTAGATATTGCATCATGAAAGAACCGTTGACTTGTGGAGTCGACTAAAAAACTTTGCCTCTGTTCCTCGCCAGTTTTGATGAAGATGGTTGGTTATACCGTAATCTTTTGGAGTACATGTGGCCACACACACAGTGGCCGCGTAGGAGCATCCACTACGCCATAGCATCCCATGGGTGCAGCAAGACGTGACAAAAATAAATTAGAGGTGAAAACAAGAAATTGGCAATAACATCTTCCTAATAATTCAAAATTATAAAAAATTGCAGTTGCCAAGCGTGGCAACTATATAGCAGATATCTGCTCTATGAGGCAAGCTATGAAATAGGCTTATGTCAGACTTTGGTAAGACTTTCCATTGACGTCCGTCGAGTTGGGTGTTGATAATTTTGCAAGAATAATTGATTTTAAATTTTTTTTTCTCAAAAAGTACGCGTTTCCGCATGTGTGTGTGTGCTTATAATAGTGTAACCTCTCTTTAAAATACGTATCAACACCCAATTCGACGGACGTCAATGGAAAGCTAAGCCCGGACTTTTGTAATCTGTAATGATTGAGTAATTTTGACCCCACTGTACCTTTTATCATACCATAATATAATATTATACTGTAAGTATGCAATATTATATAAATGTAATGTTTCGAAATCTTTAAGGCGCGTGTATTTCTTTACAGGATGAGACAGACGATACCTGTGATTTTAAACACCAAGATGAACCTAAGGAAAAAATATCCAAAGTATCTACTGTGTATTTACGAGAGCAACAAAATAATGAAGAATGCCAAAATTATTCTATAAACAGTGTGAACTCTTTGTCATTGGCAAATGATAGTAGTGAACCTGAAGCTTTCGGGAAAGTTATAGGCCTTCAATTACTTGAGTTAGAACCTGTACAGAGAACCATAGCGGAAAAATTAATGTCAGATGTAATATTTTATGGACGAATAAATGCTCTAACATTAGAATCATCAATCAATATAAAGGGAAGTCCTTAACATATTTTATTTCTTTTCATTTCGCGTCCAAAGGTTTTGTAGTTTCTGGTGGTATAACGATTCCTTATAATGCAGGAAAGATTCTGCAACTAAAACTTAAAATCCGGATGACTTTGCGATTCTTCCTGCGGGTCCGAGATCTGACAACGACGAGGCTCTTCACCTGTCAGGTTTATCTCGAGGAGGGCAGAGATGTGAATTCCCGAGGCTCGTTTGGTCACTGACCGGATAAATGATAAGATACGTGAAGTATATGATGTATGATAGAGCAATAGGTTGTCATAAGATAAATGTGTGAAATACACCTAGCGCCCCCCCCCCCCCCCTCCCCCAATCGTTGGAGAAGGCTTAACCGATTCGTTTCGGCACCGATTTTCGACAACTTTTAGCTGTGGCGGCGAACAAATATTTCATGACACGCCTATTGTGCCATCAGCCATGTGTAAGAGTAATGTTCTTTTTTATGCTTTTTTACTTGTTTAGACCTAATTAAGTTTAGTTGACATCAAACATAAGTTACAAACGGAAGGATACTTGTTTTTAGTGGGTAACTACGTGTTTTTTTTACGTGTTTTCTTTGAAATTGAGAGTAAGTGACTTTTTTTATGCAGAGATTACAAACGTTTTGTAATATTTTTTGTTTTATAAAAAAATCATTTATATAAGTAGGTACAGCTAAATCACCCTGGAAACCTTGGTTTTTATTAAATTAAATTTTCATCTAATAATGACATTTGTAAATATCAAACAATGAAGAATCTTAATTTTGAAAAAAATAAGGTTTATGATTCATTGATATTTACAAATGTTAAATATCAATGAATCATAAACAAATGTAAAAGTAAAGTCGATCTGAAAACGTCTAATTAGTAATGCTATTCTTACTAATTTTAACGTTTTTTCCTAACAAAAACGCCGGCGATATACGGTGGCGGATTGACAAAAGACTATTTATTAGCGATTTTTTTTTATTCATGAACGGTTTTGAACTATTTCAAGCAAGAATAAACCTTATACCACATCACAAGAGCACATGATACTTCGTAGTTCTATTCGGCCATATGATAGTAATAAGACGGCAGTTCAACCATTTTAAGCAAAATGAAACAATAAGACAAACGCATTGTTTTCTTTTAACAGGAGACTTGTTTTCCACAAACTTATTTACAACTTGAGTTTGTGAGCGATCGCAATGAGTGCTATTACTTGTTACTTATTAGACTATTTTTCCACAACATGATTTAAAACCCATAAAATAAAAATAGTACCATGTACACGTTAAAAAAAGGTTGTCAACCCCTAACAATTTCAAATTTTCAAAATATTACCGAAGCTGCAGGTATGAACTACTTGCAAAATAATGAATATTTTGTTCTGGATGAATCTTCCAAAATAGCAATTTGAGCGAGTTATAACGATTTTTAAAAAGACACGACTCGCGTATCATACGCCACACACAAAAGTAATCGATGGCACGCCTGGCGTGCCACCCGCACTGAACCGGTTAAAGTGCTACGCAGGTTACTAGAACCGGTCATTCTACGATTCTTATATGTTGTTTTATTCTGTCCGTCGTCGTGCTGTAGAGATTGCGAGAGTGTCGACGAGGGTTGCGTACCTTATTCTCAGAATCACCTAACGTTATTCGCTGAAGGTTATACGGGTTTAAGCACTAACCTCGACACATCCCAATGAGGAGGTGGAGGAAATGTATGAGGATATCTATAGAGCCATGCATTGCTCCAAAACCCACTATACGGTGTTAATGGGAAACTTCAACGCAAAACTAGACACGAGAGAACGGTGAGCTGATAAAACTAAGTTAGTAAGAAAGTGGGGAAATTCGGAATAGGCCATCGGAACTCAAGGGGCCACCAGCTGGCCGACTTTATGGAGGAAGAGGTACTCTTTATGATGAACTCTTTCTTCCAAAAACGGCCCTACAGAAAGTGGACCTGGTCGAGCCCCAACGGTTCGACAATAAGATTGACTTCATTTATGACCAGACAACAACTGTTCAGTGATGTCTCTCTCAGTGATCGCGAGGGTGGAAACTGGCAGCGATCACCGAATGGTGAGAGACACACTGAACCTAAACGTTAAGTTGGAGAGGTCACGTCTAATGGAGTCAACGCTCCGTACCCCTTGTGCTCTAATCCAAAGCCACGAAAAATTCAGCTCGAGTTACAAAATCGTTTTCAATGCCTACAAGACTGCACTGAAGGGGACGATATGAAGACAAGCCTGTGGAAACTGTCATGTAATCGGAGCTAAGTTCCGTAAGACTCTTCGCAGAAGAACACAAAAACTCTCCGATTACACTTTTAATCTCACGTCTGTTAGACGAGAGATGAAGCTACAGTCTTCAGCAGATTTGCCAGCATACAGGCAACTGCACAGATAGATCTCCAAATGCATGCGGCGAGACTTAAGCAATTTTAATACAGCTCGTATTGAAGAAACGATCAATTGGAACCAGGGCTCCAAAGTCTTTGCCAGAGATTTGTCTGCCAGAAAGAGTCAACAGTCGAAGCTGAAGACGGAATGTTGTCAACATCTTTTCCGGAACACATGAGATTTTGAGTGAGATTGAGAAGTTATATGGGTAGTTGTACACGTCAACGTTGCAGCCACACACAAGTGTGAGTCTTACCGACACTATTCCGATGATATCCCGGACGTCAGTCTGAGCGAGTTTACAATGGCTCTCCAGCACCTTAAAAACGGCAAGTCCTCGGGCGAGGATGGATTTACAGCAGAGCTTCTGAAACCGAGTGGAATACCGATACTTAAAGTCCTTCAGAAGCTCTTTAATTCCGTCTACCATGGTAGAACTACTCCGGAGGCGTGGAGCAGAAGTGCGGTGGTCTTATTCTTCATGAAAGGCGACACCGCTCTCTTGAAGAACTACAAACGGATTTCCCTTCTGAGCCGCGTCTATTTGCTGTTTTTGAGAGTCATTACGAATCGTCTCACACACAGACTCGACGACTTCCAGCCTCCCGAACAAGCCGGTTTCCAAAAAGGCTTTTAGCACCATAGACCACATACATACCCTTCGGCAAATTGTACAAAAGACCGAAGAGTACAATCTGCCACTTTGTCTTGCGTATGTGGACTATGAGAAGGCCTTTGATTCCGGCGAAAATTGGGCGGTGCTGCAGTCCCTCCAGCGGTGCCAATATATCTCAATATATCGAAGTGCTGAAGTGTTTGTACACTAGGGCTACAATAGCTATCCGAGTACAGAACCATAGTACGAAATGTATCCAACTGCAGAGAGGTGTAAGACAGGGTGACGTAATATCCCCGAAACTCCTAACCGCTGCCTAGACTGGAATTTGACTGAAAAGGATACGGTATTAAAGTCAATGGTGTGCACATCACTACCTTCACGAGTACATCACTCACCTTCGATTTGCCGACGACATAGTTCATATGGCAGATTCACTGGAGGACCTAAGCACTATGCCCAAATGACCTCAATAGTGTCTACCAACGGATAGGTCTTAAGATGAACATGGACAAAACAAAAGTCATGTGTAACGTCCATGCCACACCTATGCCGGTAGTTGTTCGGAGCACTAAGCTCGAAGTTGTTGACGAGTAAATAGGTAAGTACAACTTCGACCGGGAGGTCAATCGACGGATTCAACTGTGCTGGGCAGTGTTCCGGAGATTACGACACATCTTCTCATCAGGCATACCTCAAAACCTGAAAACTAGATTGTACAACCGGTGCGTGTTACCAGTGATGACATAGGGATCTGAAACGTGGTCCTTCACTGCTGGCCGTATGAGGAAGCTCAAAGTCACTTAGCGAGCTATGGAAAGGGCTATGTTCGGGGTTTATCTGCGGATAGCCTTAAATACGAGGATATCCGCAGTAGAACCAGAGTAACTGACATAGCCCAACGGATTAGTAAGGTGGAGTGGCAATGGGCAGGCCATATAGCTCGAAGAACCGACAACAGATGGAGAAAAAAGGATCTCGAGTGGCAACCTCGTACCGGTAGGCGATGTGTAAGGTGACCCCCCACTAGATGGAGTGACAACCTGGTAAAATGCAGGAAGTCAATGGATGCAGGTGGCTCGGGATCGTGCTTTGTGGCGTTCCTTGAGGAAGGCCTATGTTCAGCAGTGGACTTGTGAAGGGTCTGTCCGTCGCATCATGAGACCAAACGGTGCGTTTCATCTCAAAAATGGTTCGGGCAAAATTCGTGTTACTGAAACCGTTTTGATTGTTTCATATTCGGAGAAGATAGAGCTATCCGATATAATAGTAAAAAAATATAATTATAATCAGTTTTAGGTATACAAAATTATACTCAAATTTTGAACTTCGATAATTTCATGTTAGATTACTCATAGTAGAGGATCCGCCTTAAAAATACACTCTTCATTTTTTTTCTTTCTTTCTCTTGATGAAATATTTTTCATTCTTTTCCTTAATGAATTTTTTTTTTATAATAAAATATATAAATAAATACAAATCGGGGTGATTGATGAGCCTATGTTTTGGCAAGGCTATTTTTAATTAAAACTTATTTAATTAATTTTTTTAACGGTCATTCCTTTCCTTGATAAAACTGGCCTAATTCGAAAAAAAAATATATAAAATGCCACAGCATGGTTGACTACCTTTTTCCATGCAACAATACCTGTCGTCTACCAGGTGTAAACAGGTAAACTGATATAGTAATTTACCCTCATTCTTTTTCCTAAAAAATGAAATGTGTAAATATAGATATTTTTATTGCGAATAAATGGTAGGGTGAACGTACCATTCCCAAACCATTTAAGGAGATATTTTGACTTTAATTAGCTGTCATTTTAACAGATTTGAACGGAAGACCTTAGTTCTATGTTATTTTTTAAGTTTATTTATAGACAAAATGAGGACCATAAATCATAGCAGCAAAAGTATCTAGGAATTTCTGTAATTATGGCATAAATCCTAAAAGATGAACTGTTCCTTAGTTAGACCAACAGTAGCTAGT